AGGCACGGTCTCGTTCTGTTGCCCAGGCTGGAGAGCAGTGGCACAAACACAGCTCACTGTAGTCTTGACCTCCGGGGCTCAAGTGGTCTTCCCGCCTTAGCCTCCCGGGTAGCTGGGACTACAGGTGCATGTCACCACGCCTGGCTAATTTTTGTATTTTTTTCAGAGGCAGGGATTTCACTATGTTGCTCAGGCTGGTCTCCGTCAGCCTCCCAAAGTAATGGGATTCCAGGTGTGAGCCACTGTGCCCGCCCCAAACGCATCATTTTAAACCAGGACACAAAGCTGTAAGAACTGGCTGGGTGCGGTGGGTCACACCCGTGATCCTAGCACTTTAGGAGGCTGAGGTGGGCGGATCACTTGAGGCCAGGAGTTTGAGACCAGCCTGGCCAACATGGGGAAACTCCATCTCTACTAAAAATTCAAAAAACAACCACCAAGGTGTGCCAGCCCATGCCTGTGGTCCCGGCTACTCCAGAGGCTAAGGCACAAGGATTGCTTGAACCCGGTAGGCAGAGGTTGCAGTGAGCCGAGATCGTACCCTTGCACTTCAGCCTGAGCAAGAGAGTGAGACTCTGTCTCAGGAAAAAAAAAAAAAAAAGTATAAAAACTTCTGCAAGGTCAGAACCTCCAAGCTATATATATTCTGCTAAGGGCACCCCGGGGAACTGAAGCTAGGTAAGGGATAGGTTTCCATTTAATGAGCAGCTGTGTTTTATAATTTACATTTCTCCATAAAATTCCATTTGCACAAAGGGATTGTGTGGATGAATGGTCTGGAAATCATTACATTAGCTCATGCAGGTCTAGGCCAGGTCTGCTGATAATTTGTGCGGTTCGTAGGATACACGACATACTTGATGAATGGTGATGTGCTCAAGCTAGAGGCAGACAGAGAGGACCATCCTGGTGATGGCGGCTGCCAGTCCAGGTGGCCTGCCACTGCCATCATGCCATCTGCAGCAGGGAGGCATGGCCAGGGCTGCACAGGGCAGGAGCCTCACCCTCCTGGGTGGGGCTGGAGCCGTCCAAGTTGTGACTGCAGATCTGAGCTTCCCTGTGTTCTCGGGGGGCCAGGAACAGGCAGGAACCCTGCCTTCCTGGGCGCAGCTGCAGACTCCCAAAACGCAGCTGCAGACTTGGGCTTCCCGCTCCACGGAGTGGGTGGCAGCCCCGCTGCCCCGCCCCCACCCCCAGCCCCGGCTGCAGACTCAGGCATCCCTGTACTCTTCAGGGCCTGAGAAGGCTCTCCCTCCCCTCTTCTGAACCTGCTCCTGCTGCCTGGCTTCTCCCTGCTGTCGGCACCCACTGCCATCTTAGAGCAAAGTTGGGGCTGAGACCTGGTGCCATGCATGGCAGCGGGAGGCAGACAGATTCCTAGGTGGAAAGGTGGGTACCCGGTGGGGGCCAGGCTGCCAATCCCACAGACTGGAGTGGGAACGTGGGGTGCGTTTTCCGGGCCTGCCCATGGACCAGTGGGGGTGCATTTCCTCCCCTCTGAGGCCCATAAAAGCCCTGAGCTCAGCCAAGCTGAGCAGAGAAGGGACCACCAGCTACAGAGAGGAGCCACCCTCTCTGCTGAGAGCTTCAGAGACCTGCAGAGACGCTAGGATGACCAGTTGCAGAGAGGAGCTACCCACTCCATGGCCTCTTTTCTGCTGAGAGCTGAACACTTGACAGAACCACCTGCCTACAGACAGAGAGCAGTACCCACTGCATCTCCTCTGAGCTGTTCCAATATTCAATAAAGCTCCTCTTCATCTTGTCTACCCTCCACTTTTCTGCATACCTCATTCTTCCTGGATGCAGAACAAGAATTCAGGCAAAGGCGCCACTGGCCCCAGAGGTTTCCAGCCAGAAAACTGACACCCCAAAGATCCTGTAACACTGGGACACAAGAGCGGCAAGCCAGGGGCTTTACTGGAGACACCAAAGTCTGGGCCCTGCTCTTTTATCCTCACAATAGTCAGGAACTCCGGGGCCTTTTGGAACAGAAGCAGACAGCCAAAGGCACTGAGAAGGACTGTGTTTCTCCAGGGACATCCTCAGGCTGGGATCCTCCCTCTGGCCTGAATCTCACGTAAGAAGATCTGGCCCGCGGTACTCACAGGAGTGGAGTTTGAAGAGAAGCTTGACAGTGTAGTCATAAAGGTGGCTGCAGTCCAAGATGACCTGGATTAGCGGGGCGAGGCGGCACTGCCCTGCTGCCGTCACAGACACAGAGCGGGACATGTCCAGGGAGTTAAACACTAGGAAATAAAAGTGAGGGAGAAAGGTGATAGAGCCAGGGGATTACAGGCAGCCTCTTCAGAGGGGCAGAGGCAGGGGTCCAACATACACCAAGCACCAATTTCGTGCGCACTTTACCTCATCTAATTCATTTAACCCTCACGACACTCCCATGAGATAGGTAAACGTATCCCCATTAGACAGGTAAAGAAGCAGAAGGTAAGTCACTTGAAGGCTGTCACAAAGTCAAGAAGTGGTTTTGTTAGCTGGGTGTGGTGGCGGACACCTGTAATCCCAGCTACTTGGGAGGCTGAGGCAGGAGAATTGCATGAACCCGAGAGGCGGAGGTTGCAGTGAGCCGAGATCGTGCCATTGCACTCCAGCAGCAGAGCAAAACTCCATCTCAAAAAAAGAAAAATGGTTTTGGCTGGGTGCGGTGGCTCACGCCTGTAATCCCAGCACTTTAGGAGGCCGAGGTGGGTGGATCACCTGAGGCCAGGAGTTCGAGACTAGCCTTTCCAACATGGGAAAACCCTGTCTCTATTAAAAATACAAAAATTAGCTGGGAATGGTGGCCACGCCTGTAATCCCAGCTACTCGGGAGGCTGAGGCAGGAGAATCACTTGAACCCAAGAGGCGGAGGTTGCAGTGAGCCGAGATTGCACCTTTGCATCCAGCCTGGGTGACAAGAGTAAGATATCATCTCAAAAAAAAAAAAAAAAAAAAAAAAAAAAAAAAGTGGTTTTGTTGAGAGGTGGTGAGTTAACAGACTTGTTGGAGAGCCCAAGAGCTAATGGGGCCAGTGATGGTTAGACCAGGTGCCTTTGCTCCTGAGAGTCAGAATATCCAGTGCATCATGAACAGGTGAACTAAGTGCTAGTCTGTGCACAGACCCTGATAGCCCAGGAAAGAAGAGATTTGCTCATCACCTAGGAGAGCTCCTACCATGGCAGACAAGGAGAGGGAGCCTCATCTTCCTTTTTTTCCTCTTTACGAGACTGGGTCTCAGCCAGGTGCAGTGGCTCACACCTGCAATCCCAGCACTTGGGAGGCTGAGGTGGGGGGACTGCCTGAGCCCAAGAGTTTGAGACCAGCCTGAACAACATGGCAAAACCTCATCTTTACTGAAAATACAAAAATTAGCTGGGTGTGATGGCTCACGCCTGTAATCCCAGCTACTTGGGAAGCTGAGGAAGGAGAATCACTTGAACCCAGGAGGTGGAGGCTGCAGTGAGCCAAGATCGCACCACTGCACTCCAACCTGGGTGACAGAGTGAGACTATTTCATAAATAAATAAAACAAAACAAGCCAGGCGCAGTGGCTCACGCCTGTAATCCCAGCACTTTGGGAGGCTGAGGTGGGTGGATCACCTGAGGTCAGGAGTTCGAGCCTAGCCTGGCCAACATGGCGAAACCCTGTCTCTACTAAAATACAAAAATTAGCTGGGTGTGGTGGCGTGTGCCTGTAAACCCAGCTACTTGGGAGGCTGAGGCAGGAGAATCACTTGAGCCTGGGAGGCGGAGGTTGCAGTGAGCTAAGACGGTGCCACTGCATTCCAGCCTGGGCGACAGAGCAAGACTCCATCTCAAAAGAAACCAAACCAAACCACACTAATCCAAATCGAAACAATACAAAACAAGAAAAATAAGAAAAAGGGCCAGGAGTGGTGGCATCCCAGCACTTTGGGAGGCCAAGATGGGCGGATCACGAGGTCAGGAGATCGAGACCATCCTGGCTAACACGGTGAAACCCCGTCTCTACTAAAATACAAAAAAAATTAGCCGGGCGTGGTGGCGGGCACCTGTAGTCCCAGTTACTCAGGAGGCTGAGGCAGGAGAATGGCGTGAACCCATGAGGCGGAACTTGCAGTGAGCCGAGATCGCACCACTGCACTCCAGCCTGGGCGACAGAGTGAGACTCTGTCTCAAAAAAAAAGAAAAAAAAAGAAAAAAGAAAAAAGAAAAATGGACTTGGGAGAGGGAAGATATGTCAGGACTCAAGGCTGAAACTTGGGGCATCTGTCAACAGAAGTAGAAGTCCTGCCTCCATCCTCTTGAGTTTCAGAGACGAAGTTGATCCCTCAATTTCTCACGCTGGGGCTCCCTCCTCACCAACCCCCTGCCCCCCATCCTCAGCCAAGCAACTGGCTGTCTGGCTGCAGACACTCAGCTCACACCACTGGCCAGGCTGATTCTTCTTCCTGCACTGGCCACCCACTGCCTCTGCAGACTCTGCACGCAGCGGGCAATGAAATGACTCTCCCTGCGGTCCCTCTGTGAGTGGAACTGGCCCAGAGGGAAGCCCAGGGCTGCCTGTATTCTGCTTCCCCTGACTGCACTAATCCCTGGTAACTGGGTTAGTCTGGCGGCTGAAAAAAAAAAAAAAAATCCCAAACTGTTCTAATTAAAAGACAGCTTTCCTTCTTGACACAAATTAAAAGCAGCTGTCACTGCAAGGCAGCCATCCCCAAGTCTACCGGCTTCCTCAGGCTCCAACTGGCAGGAACCACGGGCTGTTCCATCTCCCTGCCTGCCCTCGATTCCCGATGACTTCCAGGAATGCCCTTTGGCACCCAGGAACATCTAGGGCAGCATCACTGTGGACAAGGTACTGAGTTACTCTGTGCCTCCTGGCGCTCTTCTGTTGAGCACACGTGGCTGTAACAGTGCATACCTCTTGGAGGTCTTGGAGGACTTCAATGAGAATGTTGTGAAAAGTACATGGATGGTGCAAGTGGTTCTTGACTTTAGCTTTCAGATTGGTTACGATCACCTGGGGGAAACTGAAAAACTCAAGTCTTCCTGCAATCCCCAGAACCGCCCCCACCATCTGTTTCAACTGGTCTGCGGTATGTTGGGATGTCAGTGTCTCTCAAAAGCTTCCCCCTGCCGTCCCCCATTAGGCCAGGTGCCGTGGCTCATGCCTGTAATCCCAGCACTTTGGGAGGCTGAGGCAGGAGGACTGCTCAAGGTCAAGAGTTCGAGGCCAGCCTGGCCAACATGGCGAAACCTCATCTCTACTAAAAATACAAAAATTGGCCGGGTGTGGTAGTGGGCACCTGTAGTCCCAGCTACTCAGGAGGCTGAGGCACAAGAATTGCTTGAACTCAGGAGGCAGAGGTTGCAGTGAGCTGAGACTGCGGCACTGCACTCCAGCCTGAGTGACAGAGCAAGGTTCTGTTTCAGAGAAAGAAAAAAAAAAAAAGGCCCCACATAGATTCTAATCTGCATCCAAGGTTGAAAACTATATGTCCAAGCTCAGAGGTTGTCATGTTTTAGCACGCATCAGAATCACCCACAACAGTGCCATCCAATAGAATTCTATAATGATGAAAATGTTCATATAAACTTTCTAATATGCTAGCCATGTGTGGCTTCCTGAAACATGCCTGAAATAGGACTAGTGCAGCTGAGGACTTGACTTTTACATGTTATTTAATTGTAATCAAGTTCAATGATCACATGAGGCTAGTGAATGCCCTATTGGACAGTGCACACTGGGGGTGCTTCTTAAAGCACAGGAGGCTGGGCCTGGTGGCTCATGCCTATAATCCCAGCACTTTGGGAGGCTGAGGTGAAAGAATCACTTGAGCTCAGGAGTTCAAGTCCAGCCTGATTATATAGCAAGACCCCATCTCTACAAAAAATTAAAAATTAGCCAGGTGTGATGGCACACACTCATGGTCCCAGCTACTCTGGGGGCTGAGGTGGGAGGATCCCTTGAGCCCAGGGAGGTCAAGGCTGCAGTGAGCTATGATTGTGCCACAGTACTCCAGCCTCGGCGACAGAGTGAGATCCCATCTCCAAAAAAACGAAACGAAACAAAACAAAAGAAAACGAGAGAGAGAGTAAAGAAAAACAGCAGTGATGAAATAGGTGAACAGAATTCATTACATAGTTTTAACTTCCAGATGCAGGCTCTGGGAATCTCTAGGATGAATTACTTAGAGTCTTCTGGACCAGAGCTACCCAAATTTAATTCCTGGATTCAAGCAATCTTCCCATCTCGGTCTTCTAAAGTGCTGGGTTTATAGGCGTGAGCCACTGCACCTGGCAGCCTGCAGTTTTTCAAAAAGCAAGCATTCTTTTATTGTTGAGCACCTGCTATTCACCAGGCACTGGGCTAGAACAGAGAGAATTTAAAGATGAGTAGGACATGGTTCCTGATTTTAGGGAAGAGCTCAGCATCTCGTGGTGACAATATTAATGAACAATGCATATAAAACCAGAGCAGGCTGGGCACGGTGGCTCATGCCTATAATCCAAGCACCTTGGGAGGCCAAGGCAGGCAGATCACTTGAGGCCAGACTAGCCTGGCCAACATGGTGAAACCCTGTCTCTACTAAAAATACAAAAATTAGCCAGGCGTGGTGACGCATGCCTGTAATCCCAGCTACTCAGGAGACTGAGGCAGGAGAATCACTTGAACCTGGGAGGCAGAGGTTGCAGTGAGCTGAGATGGTGGCATCGCACTCCAGCCTGGGCAACAGAGCGAGACTCTACCTCAAAACAAAACAAACAAACACACAAAAAACACAGAAAACCAGAGCTAGGGGTCACGAGATGGCACAGAAAAAGATGGCTGAGCTCACCACCTCTACCCCTTACTCATTCTCTCAGCTAATCAAGTCCTTTTGGACCTCATCACCATCTCCGTTCACTCCTGGTCCACTGTCTGTCAGGAACTGGAAGGATGGCCCAAAGGCTGAAACATTTGTCTTGCTCATCCCTAAAAACCACAGCAGCATACAAAAAACTA